TCCCAACAGCCCTCCCCCCAGCCAGGACCAATCAGGGCACACACACACATAGCGGGCAGGCAGAGTGGCAGCTTATTGGGCCACATACCAGGATCACGCTCGATGATGTCTCTGATCAAGCAGGCAGCACATGATCGGGCTTATTGTGCTTGCACAGGTTGGAGTAAACAAGTGAGGGGCACGAGGCTTGGCAGCCAGCCAGGGCGCCATCTTGGCCGGCTCGACCGCGCCTACTTCCCACAAAAAAACTTTAAGGTGCGCATGGTAACACCAGTTTATAATCCTAGTGGTAGGGAGGCAAAGAGAGGTGGATCCCTAGGGTTCACTGGCCAGCTGACCTAGCCTGTTTGGTAAGTTCTAGGTTGGTAAGACGCCCTGTCACAAAAAATAAAAAAGGATGTTGCCTGAGGAATGACACCTGAGGTTGTCCTCTGGCCTGTGCGCGCGCGCGCGCGCGCGCACACACACACACACACACACACACACAAATTTGGAAAAAATGACTATAACTGTTTTAGAAGGAAAAAACTTTTAAGTTTACAAAATATATGTGTGAAGATGTTTCAAATGGAATAACTTGATTTGTTAGAGTCAGAAATGTGAGTGAATCGGGGTTGGTGAGATGGCTTAATGGGTAAAGGTATGTGCTGCCAAGCCTGACAACCGCAGTTCAAACCCTGGAACCCATTTAGTACAAGAAGAGAACCAACTTCGACAAGTTGTCCACACATGTGCCTTGGTATGTACACATACCCCCCCACACACACACACAAATACAGTAATTTTAAAAATATAAAAGTAAAAAAAGAAATATGATTTTAATTTTAAGCTTTGTTCCTCTTATAATAAATATTTAAATATTGTCTACTACTTTCAAAATGCTGATTACTTCTCTCGACATCCCAAAATCTTTCAACCTCTAGTCTCCTCCCAGACAAAGATAAGCGCCCTCTGGCCTTACAGACCATGGGCATCTCCAGGTTTCTCATGGCCACTTTCTTCAGCGCTCGACCACAGCAGCTTCCCAGGTGCTGCAGCGCATCCCACTAGTCAGCCCATCCTCTGCAACTACACAGGCTTCGTTTATTCTTCAGTTCAAGGGCCCACCATCTCACCAAGCCACCGCAAAGGCTGAAGGTCAAGTGAGTGCTTCTGTCCCTGCTATGCTTACCACACAGTATTTTAACTCGGGCCTTTAACAAGCTAAATGCAATGTGCCCCCCTCTTTGCCTCTTTTGTGTTTGTGAAGGATTTTTCTGTTTCTAGCACACATTGGTGGCAATGTCCATTTGATGACGAGTTCTTGTAACAGCAGAAGAGGAAGGAGAAGAAGGGTAATGACGGGGAAAGCCCTGGACTGGGTCTGGCAGCATTAGCCTTGACAGAGCATCTATAGGGTCAAGCGGCTAAACCCCACTGCACTGAGACACACACTGTGGTTTATTGGGAAAAGAAAAAAGCAAAGTTGCCTGGTTCTGGGTTCTTAGTAGGCTTATGGGTCAGCAAGACGGCTCAACAGGTCAACATGCTTACCACCAAGTCTGACAACCTGAGACCCACCTGGAACCCACATGGTAGAAGGAAACACCCCCTGCAAGTTGTCCTCTGACACATGCACAGTAAATATAATTTTTTTAATCTTTTAAAAATATACTAATAATTTAATGATTTTTCCATCTATTCCCACCCTACCCGTAAGAATAAATCCCACTGTCCTTGTTGTTTTTAGAATGCTTTCTCTCCCTCTGAGGATAGTGTGGAAGAAATAATATTTCCAAAGAAAATTAAGTGCCAAACAAAACATGTATGAAATCTGCACCTCAAAATTACAAAGTTTAGTTATGCAAAATGTGGCTAGAGAAATTAGATGAAGGGTAATGGGGAAAGGGATCTCCTTGTACATTTTTTCATACTTCTTGTGAATATACAATTTTTTCAAAAATAAAAATTAGAGAAGGTACTAGGGACAATAAAGAAGTATTTTTAAAACATGAACTGATGCCAGGCATGGTGGTGCACATCTTTAATCCCAGCACTCGGGAGGCAGAGGCAAGCCTGGGAGGTCAAGGCCAGCCTGATCTACATAGAGAGTTCCAGGACAGCTGGGGCTACAGGAAGTCCCTACAGAAATGACATGGGTATACTTACATACATGCAGGCAATACACTTGTACACATAAAACAATAAAGCAAAAAATTCACACACACACACAAAGGGTCAAAGAGATGGCTCCCTGACTAAAAGTATTGTCTTCAAAAGCCTATCATCTGAGTTCCATCCTGGACCTGCATAAAAAAGCCAGATTCGATGGTTCAGTGACACCTACCTGTAATCCCAGTACTGTTACAGCAAAATGGGAGGAGGCAGAGACAGGAGACTCACCCAGATGCTGGACATGGAATGTCAAAAACACAAGAGACCTTATCACAACAAGATGGAAGAAGAGAACCAATTCCTGAAAATTGTTCTCTAATCTACATGTATGTGGCGTTGCCCACACACACACACACACAAATAAATAGATAAATAAATAATAGTACTAGAAATTTTTTTAAAGAATTGCGTAGTTCAGTTACAAAAAAATAACTAAAACCTCATAATGTTTGAAGTTTATGATTTTTTGTTTTGGGCTGTATTCACAGCTCTCCTGGGGGAACATTTGGGCCACTGGTTGGACACACCTAGTAACAGGGTCTACCTGAAGACTCTTGGGGTAGGGAGAGCTTGCACATGCAAGAAAAGCACTCTAAAGTGTTTTGGGTAAGTAAAATTTGGCTATATATACTACTATCAATTCCTTAGAACTTACTGACATTTTATTCCTAATTTAATGGCATCAATATTTGTGGCTATTTCGTGTTAAAAATATAGAAGATTTGCCGGGCATGATGACACATGTCTTTAATCCCAGCACTTGGGAGGCAGAGGCAGGCAAATCTCTGTGAGTTCAAGGCCAGCCTGATCTACATAGCAAGTTCCAGGCCAGCTGGGACTACAGGGAGACCCTCTCTCAAAAAGACCAAAAAAAAAAAAAAAAAAGAAAAATTGAAAAAAATACAGAAAACTTCTGACTTTGGAGTCCGCTATTCTGTTCCTGGTAAATCAAGCTTATTAACCATTGTTTAGTTCTTTATATCCAAGTATATTATTGATTTTTTTAATATTTTTAAATCTTTATGGGTATAGGACAGTGTGTGTTCATATGATTGCCATTTCCCTCTAAGGACAGAAGAGGGTGTTGAATCTCCTTGAATTAGAGTTGCAGGTGGTTGTGAGTTCCCCACGTGGGTACTGGGAACCAAACTCAGGTCCTCTGCAAGAGCAGAACCTTCTATAACTGCCGAGCCATCTCTCTAGCCCCACTGATGGTTTTTTCTGAGTCAAAATTATTACAGTTATCATGAATTAATTCAGCCTAAAGTGTTTTAACTTACATTTTTAACCAATGCTATTGATAATGACCTTTAAAATTCACTTTATTGGGGCTGGGGAAATGGCTCAGTGGTTAAGATCACTGACTACTCTTGCAGAGGACCTGGGTTCAGATCCTAGCACCCACATGGTGGCTACCAACTGTCTGTAACTCCAATTCCAGAGGATCCGATGCCACCTTCTGACCCCAACAGGCATTGCACAACATGGGTGCACTTACATGCAGGCAATACATTCGTACACATAAAATAAAAAAAATATATAAAAGGTTAAAATTCGTTTTATTTGTGTGTGTGTGTGTGTGTGTGTGTGTGTGTGTGCGTGCGTGCATTGGGGCTTGTGCACCTGTGTGCAGTGTTTGCAGAGATCAGAAGAGGGTGTCAGATGCCCTGGCGCTGAGGCAGTTGTGATCCACAGTATGTGAGATGTGCAGTGATGCTTGTTTTTTGTTGTTGATTTGGTTTGGTCTCCGTGTGTAGTCCAGGCTGGCATCGAACTCACTATCCCGCTGCCTCAGCCTCCCTAGTGCTGAGATAACATGCATGCACCACGACACTAGGCTTGGTGCGATATTAGTTTCCAAATATTTTTTAATATTTTACTTATTATTTTTATGTGTATGAGTGTATTGCCTGCATGTATGCAAGTGCTCGGGTGTCGTGCAATGCCGGCGGAGATCAGCACAGGGTGTAGGATTCCCAGGAACTGGAGTTAACCCACGGTTGTAAGCTGCCATGTGGGTGCTAGGATTCGAACCCGGGAACCGCTGAGTCAGCTCTCCAGCCCTGAGTTACAAAATATTTTCAAAGCTAGATGAAATCATATTGGCATTTACAGTCTTTTCTCTCCAGCAGCATATTAACAAGTGAAAAACATCTTAACCGGTATTCTATTTAAATATTTTAGTATTTTTATGTGTATGAGTATATTGCCCGCACGTATGTGAGTGCACAACTGTTGTGCAATGCTGTGGAGGTGAGAAGAGGGCTTCGGATTCCCCTGGAACTGGAGCCAAGTTCGTAGCCGCCACGTGGGTGCTAGGAATCGAGTCCAGGTCCTCTGTAAGAGCAGTCAGTGCTCTTAACCGCTGAGCCATCTCTCCAGCCCCCACCGGCATTCTAAAATAGTTCGTACACGTCTGTAATAAACACTCAGCCTCGGTGTTAGCGCCACCGCGCAGAGCACCCGCAGCCCTAACGCCGGAAGTGGACTCGGAAGTGGAGACCTATCCACCCCGCCCGCGGCCTGCTGGGACTTGTAGTTCGGGTGATAGACGCTGCTACGGAGTCCTGCGTTTCCAGGTGTGGCACTGCCAGGGAGGTGAGCAGGGCTGAGCTGGCCCAGGGGCGGGCAGAGGTGCCCCGGTCATGGTGGGGCGTGGGGCAGGGAGGAGGCCTTGGCTTGCGGGGCGCGGAGGCTGCGGGAGCGGCCGAGGGCCCCACGTGTGTCTGCGGCGCGTTCCCAGCTGTCCGCTGCAGGGCCAGGCCCACGGAGGTCACGGCCCCACGCAGAGCAGGCCGTGCCTCCGAGGACCGGGACTTCGTAGTCGGCCTTCTCCATGCCGGTCAAGTCACTGGTCTTACTCCCAAAATGGTATGAGTAGACAGTAGACGTTAGGGGCTCTTGAGAGAGACCCCCCCAAGAGACCTCTGAGAGGTACCGGGATGCGTTGTGCATCCCCAGTGAGAATAAGGTCAGGGAATGGGTCTTGGGTAGCTGAAACAGATGCTTAGAGACTATGCGTAGAACCTGAGAACTCCCCCTCAAACCAGAACATCCGGGCAGAAATTGGGAAGCGTGAGGAGCCAAGCACATGTTAGAGCAGTGTCTTTGGAAGAATCTGCCCTTCCCTAAGAATATGACCAAGTTCCAGGTGATTTGGAGTTTCTTTCGCCAAAACATGCCTTATCTCTGAGACTAGACACAACTTCTCTTTCTTGGAACAAAGATGGGACATGAACATTAGTTTAGTGCCTGTCTAGAGCCAGACCCTTCTCTATACTGTGTGTTATTTTTCTCTTTATTGTTAAGCTTCATTGTGAAGTGGGGCATTTTATACATAGGGCACTGGGTGAGCAGATGGTATCACCAGGCTCTGCACAGGTGTCTGCTGAAAAAAGTTCCACCTTAGTTTTCAGTGTATTGCTTTGCCATGAATTTGGTCCTCAAAGCATCCAGCTGTGCTCATCTGTTGAAAGACCCCATAGGGCACCTTTGCCCGAGTCTCTCCAAGTTGGCCTTTTCCTACCAGATATTTCACACGTGTGTTAATTCTTCATTTCTAGGCCCAAAATACCTGAGATAATCAGTTTGTAAGGAGAAAGATACATTTTAGCTCCCTGTTTCTGTCTGTGACCACTTGACTCTACTTTAGGCCTGTGTGATGGAGGAGTTGTTATTTACCTCCTGTGGGAAAGGACCTGGATCCCAGTATCATCATTAAGGGCATACACCCAATCACCTAAATTCCTTCTACTGGGTCCTACCTCCTGAAGATTTCACTGCTTTCCAGTAGTGTCAGGGGTTGGCAATCAAGCCTTTAGCATACCAAGATCAAAACTGTAGCTTGTTGGAAGTCATTCAAAGTTACTGTATGCCTAGTCTGATGCTAAAATGCCTTTGGGAAAACAAGATTATAAACTGTAGGTGCTTTTCTTCAAAGAATGTGCCCTCTTGATATCATGTGTATACAAAAAGAACACATCTGATGGTTAGACTTGACTGATCATTTGATTGGATTGGGAATTTCTAGGAATCAGTGAAGCATACTTCTGAGTCTGTGAGGGCACTTCCAGAGATCATATGGTAAGGGCTCTGGCCTAATGAATAACTCATTGATGGATTCAAAGCTTGAGACAATCTGGAGGTGGTAGACTATGGAAGACTGTAGAAAGGAGGGAGGGAGGGGATCATTACCCCTGAAGTTAAGCTGAATTTCTCCTGCTCTACCTGTTCCTCCTCTTCCTTCTTCTTCCTCCTCCTCCTCTTCTTCCTTAATAAGATGATTGCAGTGGTTTGAATGAGAATGTCCCCCATAGGCTCCAAGTATTTGGACATTTTGTCCCCAGTTGGTGGTGCTGTTTTGGGAGGTTTTAGAAGGTGTGGCCATGCTGGAGGAAGCATGTCGTTGAGGGCAGGCTTAAAGATTTCTTAAGCCTTGCTGGATCTCGATTTGCTCTCTGCTTCCAGTGCCTTCTTGAAGATGTGAGAGCTTAGTTTCTGCCACCATGCCTCCCCACCATAATGGACTCTTGCCCTTTTGGAACTTTAAGCTAAATAAACTCTTCCTTTTATAAGTTCCCTTGATCATAGTGTTTCTATCACAGCATAATACAATGATGTTTTGGTATGTTTTCCAGACTGGCCTCAAACTCCAGGGCCCAAGCGACCTCCTGCCTCCACCTCCAAGTAGCTAGCAGTACATGCCACCATGCCTGGCTCAGGCTGGATTTTAAAGGGGGGATGGGAATGACTCAACACCACAAGCAACAACAGGTCAGCTTTTTGCTTAGCAAATATAGCCATTGCACAGGAAAAGACCATGAATACTTACAAGAATCTGTTTACATAGCGGACAGTAAGCTCCCTCAAGGTACTGAGAGATTGAAGAGTAATTGAGGACTTCACAAGAGATTAACATTTACAGGGTCCTGGTTCAGTGTATTTTCTTCCCTTCTCTCTGTTCCATGATGATTATGTATTCGGTGTTGATCCACTTGTTAATAATAACTGCTACAGTAAACTTTGATGTTCTAGTATATGTTATGGAAATACCTTTTTGAGGCTCGAAAAATGACTCAGCAGGTAAAAGGTGCTTGCCGTCAAGGCTGATGACCTGAGTTCAGTTGCTGGGACCCACGATGCGGAAGGAAAGAGCTAACTCAAGTTGTCCTCTGATCGCCACACACATTGCGGTAAGCATGTATACACAGACACACACACACACACACACACCTCTCTCTCACATGAAAAAAAATTTAATTTTTTTAATTTAATAACTTCTTTTAATTTAAAGAAAGGGCTTTACTTTACTGGTACTTTTCTGTGTACCAGAGTTTGTCCATGACTTCTGCTGAAAGGCTGAAGCCCCAGACTAGCCTCTTCCGCCTGTGACCTTTGGTGAATCCTTTCATCTGTGTGCACCGTGACTTTCTCATCTGTAAAATGAGGATATTTTGATGCTTTTTAGGCTCTCTTTGAGTTGTATCATTTCATTATTCATTTACCTTGAAGGTTTGTCACTTAGATTCCAGGTCTGTTATGCTGATTGCTATGGGTGTAAAGACTGGGTGAACATGCCTGGTCATTCCAAATCTTACAGCCAACTGTAGCAGAGTTGTGTCAGAGATGCTGTGATGTCACAAAGGAGGAGGCACCTGGCTTGTCCTAATTCAGAAAGGGGCTTGCTGATTGTCCTGAGGCTGAAAGTCCTAGAATGGATGGGAGGAGTCTCATCAATGAGCAGAAGCAGAGCTATGCCAGTGTTGGAGGATTCTGGGTAATCCAGTGAGACCTAGCGCTTCTCAACTTCCTCATCACTGTTTCCCACCCTAAGTCAACTGCTGGTTACAGAAGGAGAGGTCTGACAAGGAAGTGCCATCTATGAAGACCTGTCTGTAGCTCTGAGGATCAGTTTGACATTTGTCTACTAGGAATATGAAAATGCTGGTATTATCACCCTCCTCTTCAGTTAGCCATAAGACACTGAGTCCACCTTCCCACAGTAAGCAGTCATTCCATCTTGGGGTGACCCATTAGCTCCACAGACGGTACAGGGCAGACTATCGCTGTTCAGAGCCTTGCTGTCCCAGCTTTGTCCTGCAACAGGAGCACTGTCTCCTTCCCCATTGTCCCTTCCTCAGCCTCTCATCTTGTTTCTCAGCTTGGAATTTTCAGCCAACTACACAGGTGGTGGTCCACTCATATCCTTTCTGTTCTTGGTGTGCAATTCTCTCTGCTACTTTATTCATAGGATCTTAAAAACTAATGTCTCTGACTTTGGATTGAGAAGTGATAGTTTGTACTACAAAGCCTTGGTAATGGGGGTGGAGAGATAACTCAGTGGTTAAGAGTGCTTACTGCTCTCTCCGAGGACCCGAGTTCAGGTCCCTCACCCGTCTCAGGTGGTTCAAAACTGCCTGCAGCTCCAGGGAATCCTGCACCCTCTATTGGCCTTCTTGGGTACCACACACATGTGCACATACACATAAGTAAGACATTTTAAAATATTTTAACTTTGTAAAGAGTTATTGTGGTCTGGGTTGAAAAATACGAGGGTCTTATGAAGACAGTATCAGGTAATGAGAGAGAGAAAAAAAAACAGTAGAGATTTAGGTGGCAGAATTGGCAAGATCTCAAGTGGTCTAATTGTTGTTGAGGTAGTGGAAGCCTAGTAGGAACTGGTGGGAAATGAATTAAAAATAAAGAGCAGAAAAAAATAATTGATGGATTTAAGTCTTTTAAGAGAGAAGCAAGAATTTAATATAAACTTCACAGGGAGAGGTTACCTTGAGCAGAAAGAAGCCTTTTTTCCTGAGGTCAGAAAGTAAAGGTCTGATTGAGCGAAATGACAGGTCAGCTTTTTTTAAAGTGCCAGGGATGGATCCTCGGCCTCATGCTTGCTTAGCAAGCACGGTGTTACTGCTCTGTACTCACAGAGCACAGAGATCTCTGCTTCATATCCACTGGGCTGTGCTTTACTGGAGCGTGTCTGTTAGAATCAGAGTGGTCCGTTGTCGTGCTTGGGGCTTGCAGGCTTGTCTTGCCCAATCTTTCACATAGAGCAGAGAGGCTGGCCTTGAAGGGAGGGCTTGAAAGAAAACCACCACTATCCCTGTTTTTACCTTCTCCACTGGTGACTAGTTTCGCAAGCCACATCTCTCCTGAGGAGAGTTAGTGGTGCCTCCTCAGCCTCAGGTGAAAATTGTCTTAGCTAATCCATTGTAAAAGACAGCACTGCCCTCTAATGAGATAGCTATTGAGCACTTCCCTGGCACACAGGTGAACTTTGGGTACCATTTTGCTCCAATCTGGGTGTTGGTCTGGATTAGATGATCAAGAAAGAACTTTTCTGGAGAGGCAACAGTATGGCTGAGACATAAATATTAAGGAACCAAGTAAGTGTGAGATGTGGAAAAAGAACATTCTAGGCAGAGGGACAGCTAGTGCAGAGGCCCAAGGTTGAGAAAGAGTTTGACCGTTCAGGGACCTGCATGGTCTCTGGGGTCAGCTGCCATCATAAGAGAGGAGTAGTTAGGTTTGGGGAGTGGAGGTAGCGGGGTCCAGGATGTCCGAGCTCTGTAGGTGAAAATGAAAGGTCTGGGTTTTAATGAAGTTCCTGAAAAGCCTTGCGCATGTCTTGTGCCTGCTCTGGTTTGTTTTTAAAGCTCACCCTGGCTACTGTGTGGGAAACTCGTTTGTTGGGGCGAAAGATAGAAACAGCATTTGGAAGGAGGGTGGAGATGAGGTGATGGCAGCCAAGGCTGCAGCAAAAACGGTGTGGGATGGAGATGTGGGCAGTCGCAGATGTGTCTAGGGGAGTGAAGGGCAACGTGGAGGTCTGAAAGTAAAGAGAGCTGAGAATCAAGTCTGAACTAGCTTGGAGTCTGGATTACAGTTGGTGAGAGGAGGCAGATACTGGCACAGAAGCGATTAGGAAAAGTGACATCTTCAGGGTCATGGTGGGAACTGGGTGGAAAGGACAGTAGAAGACAGGAAAAGTTGGTGTCCCTGACAGCTGACAGCTTGGGTGTGGATGGGCTGAATGGAAGCAGCAAGGTGTCTGGGAAGGAAAGGATTCGGCAAACTGGACGCACTCACCCAAACCCTGAACTGTGTGTTATTTCTTCCTCTCCTTCCCAGTGTGGTCAGCCCCACTCTCCCTCCAGGTCAATTGTGTGGTAGTTGATGGTTGTGTAATAGGGCACCTTCTTGACCATAGCTATGCCGTGTTAAAGTTTAGGCTGACTCTAGTCTCTGAAATTATCAGAAAGTTGGCCCAGGATATGGGAACACATGCAAGCCGGACCCTGGTTGTCCTGGTAACAGGTCAGACATCCTCTAACCAGTTTAAGGGTCCATAAAGAGGGGGCCTCTATAGTTTCTCTGTAGGAAAAGTATCCCACAACATTTAGAGGTTCCTAGATACAGTTGCTATACAACAAACCACCCCCAGAGGGAACTTTGTGACCAGTAAAGATAAAAAGAGCCATAGTGCTTAAGCTTGGTGGTGCACTCGGACCCTTTAGGAAAGTGTAGCCTGGCCGTGTAGCCCAGCTGTAATAAATCTTTCTTTCTTTCTCTAGACTCACCTGTGTGTGTGTTTTTTTGTTTGTTTGTTTGTTTGTTTGTTTGGGGCATTTGTGGATCCCAGACTAGTACCCGTTGCAGAAGGACTTGCCTTATATTTTAGGATGGACTACTATTCGCAGTTTGTGGACTTCCTGAAGAAGGATGGCATCACCTGGATGGGCCTCTCTAGAGGCCTGGCAGAGCTGGGGTAGAGGTAAAAAGCGAGGAACTTGGCCTTGCTGAGTATGATACAAAACCCAGGTGCTGTGAGAGGCCTTGTTTCCTAATCTCCTTTTAGCCCAGAAGGATGCTTTCCAATGTCCTATGCAGCTGAAGAACGCTCTTTGGTAAGAACTAAGAATGCTGCCTTTACTGCATTGTTCCAGAACCCAGACATTGAGTGGATGGGCTATGGGCAGGAGGACTGGGGACTGATGGAGTACTGTATAATCATCCAGGCCTTTCATGTTTCCCAGATGCGATCTCACAGTTGGAGCAAAATGAAGATTATTACATAGCAGGGAACAAACTCCAAAGAACATCAGGCATCGTGGCAGTTTACAGAGCCGGGCTAATCCTTGGAGTGCCTTGCCAGATGTTCCAGGAATTCTCTGAAAGTTCTTTGGTGCATGTAGGATGCAGGGATTGTGGCACTTTCTGTGGCACTCACCTAGGTTGATTTAATCTTATCTATGCTTCTGAAGGCTATGCTCTCTCCTTTCGTACTTTTTTTTTTTTTTTTTGCTCCAGCTGGCCTAGAACTTGCTTTGTAAACCAGGCTCAACTCACTGAGGCTCACCTGAGATTAAAGGTGTATATCACCACACCCTCTGTCCTCTTTTCTTTTCCCAAATTTTCCACACAGTGATTTTATCCCATCTTTGGTTGGACCTCACTGAATATCTTCACACCTTGCATTATCTAGTTCCCACTGTTAGACATTCAGGGATTTCCTGTGTACCATTTACTTATGTACCGTGTTAAGTTTTCCCTTGCCCCACCCCAAATCAATTCTGACCCCTGACCCCACCTAGGTCAGTTTATTGAGAGAATGTGTGCTACATGTTGGGACTTGTATAAAGAGCTACTGTATATTTTAAAAGGCTCAGCTCCCTTTTCTGCCTCAATAATCGTCATGTTGTGACATTACTAAGCCACATTACAGTTATACCTGAATAAACAGCCTGACTCTTAACTTTAGGCGGACCTGAACTCAGAGGACACCCATTCCTCTAGATGTCCCCTGGAACTGTGCTCTGAGGCCCAGCTTCACTCAGACTTTTATTCAAAACCCTTTCTCCAGCATCAACTTGGACCCACCCTCACCCTAGACAATCTTGCCTTCTGATTCCTAGGCCTAAAGTATCTCATGCACACAATGGCAAGCATTCTTATTTCTCACTGCTTTCAATGAGGATATGAATGTGAATACACTGCATTCAGCACCTTGGTACACTAATTCAGGCATACCACATTGGTGCACCTTCTGGGGTGGAGGGCAAAGTGAGATCCCAAGGGGTCAAGGTTATAAGCCCAGGTCACAAGAGTACATGGCTCAATGAGCTTGTCTACATTATAAACAGTAGCTTTTTGGAGAGATAGCTCAACAGTTAAGAGCACTGGCTAGGGGCTGGAGAGATGACTCAGCAGTTAAGAACACTGGTTCTTGCAGAAGACCCGGGTTTGAATCCCAGCACCGAAATGGCAGCTAACAACTGTCCATAACTCCAGTTCCAGGGGATCCAACAGTCTCTCTGTCCTCCACGGGCATTGCACGACATGGGTTTACCTACATGCAGGCAATACACGCATACACATAAAATAATAAATAATAAATTTTTTTTTTAAAAAAAAGCACTGACTGCTCTTGCAGAGGACCTGGGTTCGATTCCTATCTGTAATTGCAGTTCCAGGGGCTCTAACCCCCTCTTCTGACCGCAGGCATTGCACGACATGGGTACATTTACATACATGCAGGCAATGCACTCATATACATAAAATAAAAATAATAAATGAAAAAACATTTTAAAAGATAATAAAAATTTTTTTAAGTCATTAGTGCAGATTCTGTCCATTTTGTAACAGTCATTTCTACATTTTTACATCATAAAACTCTGTTCCTATACATTTTCTTCGACATTGAGTAGCTATACTTAATATCCAATGCCACTTAAAATTCAGTGTGTTGAACTTTTTAGATTCTTTGCAGCTTTTTTCCTCATATTCCTACTTTTACCAGTACTGAAATTCCTCCAGTCTTCTAGTTTAGTAATAGGCCGTTAATAACTTCCTCCCCACCTCATCCTCAGTATCTACAAATAAGTTCTTTTAAATGTATTGTCATCCTTACGTCCTACAGATTTCACCCTAAAATGGTTCACTATGATTCTGACAAAAATTAACCAGATTGTTGGCATTGCTTTTCAAGCTTGTGTTAGATGTCTCGCCCATTGACTTGTCTCCCTTACATATCACTTATTATATCACTCTTTGTTGTTGTTTTTAATGAAGATTTGCCTTTGGTCACTGAGGTAGAGACTGTAGGCTCCTTGCCTAGCTTTTGAAGCCCTCCGTTCCCTGGTCATGCCTGTGGAGCACTGCTCTCTGCTGCCCAGCTCCCCCCTCCTTTCCAGTCAGTCTGTTTTCCTGTGGTCCTGGGACCTTTGATTTTCCTATACTCCAGTTCTTATTCATTCTGTCCTCTAAGATTTTATGTGATGGCCGTTACCTTTGTGCCACCTCTGACTGCCCCTTCTGCTTGACCCCCATCTTCTCAGAACTTCCTGTTTGTACCTCTGTCTCAGACCTGGTGATGTTTTCTTTTAACTATTGGATCACAAGTCTAATTAATCTTCTGAGTTTCTAGACAAGGTCCTAAGGGAAATGTGTGTATCTAATATTGTTGTCCTTTAGAGGATCAGAACGAGAACCATGAATACCCAGGATGCTCCAGTCCTTTATATGGAATGGCACGGTATTTGCACATAACCTTATACCTGCCCTTGGGTACTTTAAATGGTCTCTGGATGACTTACATACCTAGTTCAATGTGAACACTTTGTAAATAACTACTGTATTGTTTAGGGAACACTGACAAGGGAAAAAAAACATCTGTATGCATTTGGTACAGGTGCAATTTTTCCCCAGATATTTCAGCCAGCAACTGATTGAACACATTCATGCAGAACCCAAGACACAGAAGGCTAGCTGTACTTTAATGCTTTATATTTAATAACTGATGCTGCATAGTTGAATTTCTCATAGCCTTGTGGAAGAAGCATTGCATAAGCACTGCAAATTGCTATAAATGTGATTTCGTAAGGCTGTAGCAGTGCTCTAAAGTATGGGGCATGTGATAGGGTTAGGATGATTGGGGATTGCTTAAAGTTCCAGGGAAGGCTGAAGGGAAACTGAGAACTAAAGAATTAAGTGATTTAAGCAAATTTCTGGTGAGGGGGAGATTATTCTTGTCAGGAGGAATCAGGTAAATGTTACAGTAGCAAAAAATGTCCCTTGGGACTGGAGAGCTGACTCAGTAGTTAAGAGCACTGGATGCTCTCACAGAGGATCTGGGTTTGATTCCCAGCACCCACATGGCAGCTAGCAACCTTCCCTAACTCAGTTCTAGGGGATCTGATGCCCTCTTCTGACCTCCATGAGCACTGTGCGACACAGGTGCACTTGCACACATGCAGGCAATACACTCATACACATAAATTAAAAATAAAATATTTTTTTAAATGCCCCTTGGGTCTGGGTGGAGACCCAACATTCTAGTTCAGCCAGGTCAGTCACCTGGCCTCAGGACCACCCCTAAGAAGGTGGAGTCACCTTAAATCATGCTAGAGACAGAATAAGTAGTGCTGAGCACAAGCTTTGGAACAGTCTCTGTGCTTTTATGTAGAATTCAAAAGCATAGCCTCTCCATTACTTCTTTGTCTTTTCTAAGCATGTGTTCCCTAACACTTTGGGCTTCCCCAGCTTAAAGCTCCCTCCCTGCTGTGTGGCTGCTAGTCCTCCTTGTGCCTGGCCTCCATTCCAGCTTCAAGTGGTTTTCTCTTTCCTCTGTTCTCCTCCCCCAGGCAGTTGCAGAGATTTCCAGCTTACGTGCCCTGAGGGTTTTTCTTTTAAACTCCAATAAAATTGTCCCTCAAGCTTCTATTTGAGTCCATTCTTGAATTCTTTCATTAAAGAGACCTAAGGGTCCCCTATTTTCCAAGAGCAGACCCAAAAACCCAGGAGGACCTAGACCACATCAGTGTGCACTTGTAAGGACAGAGTGGGAAGAATTGTGCAGAACCTGGCTTACCAGTGGAGATGAATGCAGTCCTGAAAGTGGGTTTTCATAAAGTGCAGTGGTAGCTGTTGGAGCGGAGGGAATGTGCTCGAATTGACTCAGCATCTTATAACTGCTGTAATGAATGGTTTGCATAGAGACAGCACAGGAGAATGTAGGCTTGCGGATTCACCTACACTCTAGGTTTTCATCTTCATTGCTGTAAAATTGAACATAGGGCTGTGAGATGGTTCAGTCAGTGAGACGCTTGCCACCAAGGCTGGTGACCCAAGTTCAATCCCTGGGACCTACGTAATGGAAGGAGAGAACCAACTCCCACAAGTCGTCCTCTGACCACCACACATGCGCTGTGGCATGCATACACACAAAAATACATATATTAAAGTTGAATGTAGTGCAATGATTTTTTCATATGCCTGTGAGATAAAAAAATCAGCTGCCTATGAAAGGGCCATTTCAGCTTCACTGTTTCTGCCTATGTAAATATACTGCTGGAGACCCTCCCACTGCATAGCCCCAGGCACATAGGCTAGCGACCCCACTGCATAGCCCCCAGTTATGTAGGCTAGTGATCCCCATGCTTGACCCACAGTCATGTAGGCTAAAATTAAACCACCAATCACAGCATAGGTCTGGAATGACACTGCCTGGCCAATTGCCCAGGATCCAAGACAACTTGGGCTGTGGCCCATGCCATTAGTCTGGAGGACCTGACAGAGTGAACCTATCACTTGGGTTCAGGACACCCAGTTAGACAGACCCACCAATTCGGTAGAAGGAGAGCTTGATTAACTCCCAGCAATTTTCTTTTTTTTTTTTTAATATTATTTTTATTTTATGTGTATGGGTGTGTTGCTTGCATGTAAGTGCATTCATGTCGTGTGGTACCTGCGGAGGTTAGAAGAGGGTGTCAGATCCCCTGGTCCTGGAGTTACAGACGGTTGTTAACTGCCATGTAGGTGCTGGGAATTGAACCCAGGTCCTCTGCAAGAGCAGCCAGTGCTCTTAACCACTGAGCCAGCTCCAGCCCCAACTCCCAGCAACTTTCACAGTTGCCTTAGTTAGAGCCTTACAGGGAGATTCTCATCTACAGTTCAGTACAGAAGAGAGTGTATGTGGAGGAGAGAGAGAGAGAGAGAGAGAGAGAGTCTGAGTCCATGGTCATTGAGACTACCAAGTCTGACTGGGCCCTAACCTGCAGTTCCTGATAATCTCATACAGCTAAACAAACTAGGTCTCTTCTACTGAGTCCAGTCCGTTCAGGGTTTGATGCTGAACCACGTACTGCTAAGAGGCATCTAATTCCCTGCAAGGGGAGCAGCCAAGTGGGTAAAGTGATTCTGTCTGATGCAGTGGTTGCTCCAGAGCACTTTGTTTTGCAGCACCAACACAAGTGGGAGATGCATCATGGGAGGATATCCCTCAAAACCCAGTCTTAGGACTGCATGATCACAAATTTCAAGAAAGGGTATTTAGGAGATTATGATGTCGCTGAGAAAATCAAAAGCCCTCTCTGTATTAAAGTGGCCAATTTACAGTGTGAAGCATCTCCTAGAGGGAACCCTGGATGTGACCAAAATAAAGGCAGTGCACCAGGTGATAACCCAGGAGCCAGGCTACCTGGACCAGTTTCCACATGTAGATTCTTAATTCTTGACTGCAAGTGGCTTTGATTCAGCCTCCTGGATACAGTTCTGTACTAAGGGGCAAGGACAGTATAAGATTCTCATGTCAAGAACCCAGTCTCAGTCAAGAAACCAAGTCCTCCCCCCTCCAAGACTCCACTGATCCTCCAGGGGGACCCAGATGAGCTTTTATTGCTACCACCTCCTTACGACTCCTAGACCAGAGGCTCTCCCTTTACCCGAGCATTTGCCATCATCGGCCTCTGTTCCCTGACAGTAGAACCCAAACAAATGGGAAGAAGCTTCTAGTTGATCCAGGGCCAGTGGCCCGCCTTCCAAATGCCTCTCTCCTGAAGACCCGAGGCCCCCAACATGGATGGAAGTGTCCAGGCTGGGCAACCCGTTCTATGCTACCAACCCTTCTCCACCACAGATTTCCTTAATTGGAAGCACTCGTACTCATACTTCATACTCAGAAATCTTAGGTATGATAGACCTGGTGGAGTCCATCTGTCACACTCCTCCCCCACCCCACCTCCCACCTGGAAACTGCCATCAACAACTCCTGAACTCTTCAACACTGAGGACTGGTGACAAATAATGTCCAAGGCCCAGAAATGGTTGACGGCCCATGTTCCTGTGGAACAGATAAACATCTA